ACAGTGGAGAGAGGGGAACCCAAAGGGACACGCAAACAGGAGTCAGAGCTGCAGGTGCCACAGGTGTGATGCCAGGAGAGGGTCAACGCTGCTCGGCTAGCACTTGAAAGGCTCCCTGCCTGGCATGGTTGAGAACATGGGTCCACCGTCTGCGTGTCGGTGCTGAGCCTTACTCAGCCACTCACCGGCTGATCTGGGGACGGGATGATACTGGAGGTAGTTTCCGCTAGGCCTGTATGTGGACGGGCCTGGGCAGTGCCTGCTGATCTGTTAAGGGGACTGCTGCCTCCCGGAGGCCCTGACTGCCCATCCTGATACATCTTAGAGTGGCCCGTGGTGGCTTCTCTCCTACACACATGTCACGTCCTTGCCAGCCCATACACTGAGCTCTGGGTGCTGCTCTAGGGAGTCGCTTGGGGCCCTCTCATGTCTCTTCTAGCCCTAATGCTTCCTGCCGTTATTCGCCCGGGCCCAGCTGATGGAGAAGGGGTGAGGCCTGGACTGTGGCCTGGTGTCAGCCACGGGAAGCTGCCCCAACGTGCCTGTGTTCTGGCCGCTGGGCTGCGGGGCGGGCTGCTCTTAGCGTCGGCACTCTGGCTGAGGACACTCAAACTCAGGAGGTGTCCCTGGCCACGCAGCTGGCAGGGGCCGTCTTGTACCCACCTGTGGCTGCCGTGGGTTCAGACCACTGAGACAGAATTCCCTCCCAGAGCCAAGAAAGTCATTCCTCGACTAATCCTTCTTCCTCATTTGAAATAAAGAACTCCGTGGCAGCGGCTGATGGAGCTGGGCTCTGAACCGATCCTTTTCTTAGTGTTTCTGAGTGCCCAGGGAGTCAGAATGGCTGCAGCTGGATGCTGACAGAGCAGGACGTGGGAGGGACGGAGCCACTTAGATGACAGGCTTCTCCAATGTCCCTCACTCCGCCCCGGGTTCTAAGCCCCGGGCTTCCACGTGCACCGTGATTTCTCCCGCTTGTCTCTGCCACGTGGGGCTGAGGGGATGCCTTCATGCACGGAGCATGCCCCCACCGCGCGACGCCCCGCCAATCTTCCCTGCCGTGCAGACGCTGCCCATCCTCAGTGAAGGGTAGTGGCGTGGGGGTCAAGTGTGGCACTCGGGAAGGAGGCCGTTCCCATGTTCCTCTTGGGCCACATCCCTGGTGGGAGGTGCGGGTGTTTATTGGGCGTGAATGGAGGAGAGGGTGGTGTGGCCCATTGCCTGTGTCCCCTGGTGCCAAAGGCTCATCTCCCCCTGGCTCCCACTGGTCCTGTGCACCTGGACAGCCAGGGAGATCTCCGTGTCCTGCATGCCCTGCACAACCCTGCATGGCCCCAACTGGCCCGCGTGGCCCCAAGTGGCCCTGAACAGTCCCATGTGGCTCTGCGTGCCATGCACATGGCCGACCATGAAGGAGGCAGGACCGAGGAATGTGGCAGTGCGCGTGATGCTGCAGAGGCCCCACTGGGGGGTCTTACCGTCCATGGGGCCGGCGCACTGAGTTTTCTCCTCAGTCTCAGCTTCTGGGACTCCCTGTGACCTGTGGGAAAGGTTCTGGCTGCTCAGGGACAGCCCTGCTTGAAGGTTTGGAAGAAACACATCACATCTATTTACGCGCCATTGGCACAAACTGAGACACAAACCCGACCACGAAGCTGGGCCGGGTCTTGCTTGGGGAATCTGGGAGTCAGGCTGCATGGCCGGGCTGGGGCGGGTGGTAAAGCTGGGGGCTGCCCTGGGCTCCCCAGAGAGGTGTTGGCTCTGGGTGTGCAGGTGTCCCCATCACACGTGTGCACAGCTCTGCAGCGTACACGCCTGGCTGCTGTTGGGCCCTTGCAGGTGAGGTTCGACATGATGAAACTCAGTGTCTCACCTCTGGCCCTGTCCTCTCAGATATGGACCTGCTTAGAGCAGGGGCACCCAGCGAGGCAGTGAGGCCCGAACGGGAAATCAGAACTCGAGATCTGGGAGGGGTGCAGCGAAGGCCCCAGGAGGGCTGCCTGGAGCGCTGTGTGCCACCTGTGTCCTGTCACTGTGTCCAGGGGCTGCCCAGCAGGGCATCCAGAGACTGCAGGGCCACTGCCCCTATGCCCGAGCAGCCTCTAGGGGCCTTGTCCGCTTCTGGGCTGTCCCTCTCCTCTGTCATGCCGCCACCTGGTAGGTTTGTCAAACGTGGCTTGTTCGACTGAGAGCATTAGAGGTCACTTGGAGGGCGAGGGGGGCTCTGCGTGTGTAAAACTGACAATGGAGGGGTTCTGACCTCTTTCTCTCAAAGCAGACTTGCTGCTTTTCCTCGGAGGTGAGGAGGATTTGCCCCAGCATGTGGGTGCAGTGAGGTAGCATCTGACAGGTCTGCAGCCAGGCTTTGGGGTGCAGGCAGTGCCCTGGGTATGGGGACCACTGCAGGGGCGTCCGCTCGACTTGCATTTATTCTCTCTGCTGTGCTTCATTAAGCTGGTGTGATAACCATGCTCACTTTTTAATTTTTTACAGTAACCTGATAAAATTATTGGGCAATAAACACACTTTATGCCATTTTGCCGATGAGGCTGCTGAGGGTCTGAGTTCGCACAGTCGTAAGTGTCCCAGCATCGTTGGTGCATGTTTGATAGCGGGGAGGAGAGAAATGGCCAGCCCGGACAGCCTCCCCTTCCCTGGGAAGCCGTCATTACCAGCCATGAGAAAAGCCTCAGCTACTCTCTGGGAAGGACAGAGAGGGCTGGCCATGAAGGAAGGGGATGCGAGACTCCTCCCTCCATCCGCTGGGTACGGATGCTGCTCCCAGGGAACACGAGGCCCGACGAAGCAGGGCCCTTCTCCCCTCTTTTTTTTTTTTTTTTTAAATTGAGTAAATTTGAGAAACTTGAGGGTGAAGTCCTATGTAACAGATTAGAAGGAAGATTCTCTTCTGTACTGGAGTGAAATGGACTGATTTTTAAATGTCAGAACAAGGGAGGGTAAAAAAGTAGATATAAATTTTTAAGACTATTTTAGTATTTTGCAAATTCTTTGTGCTTTTTTTCTTTAATAAACTTAAAATATGGATCTAATTATTATTATTTAGGTAGCTCTCTTTCTTTTGTTATAAGGCATATGTGCTCACCGGGGAGGCGGGGGGAAGAGAGAGTGAGAGAGAGGAAACACCTCCTAGGAGGGGATGGCCACCCTGCATCCCCTTCTCCTCCTCCCAGGGTTCTGGGCATGTGGATGCACCTGGCATGATTTTCACACGGTCAGGTCCAGGACTTGAACTACCAAGTGGCCTTGTGGGATCCAGCCACCCTAACTTCCATGCCGCCTGCTGGCCCCTAGATAGCTCTTTTTTGGAGACTGGTAATTGGTGTTTCCACCCTTTCCTCTTTTACTACGTAGGAGTCAAAGTACTGGTTCCGACTGGAGCTTCTTGAGTCCTGGAAGCCAGGCGACCACCGCCTTGAAGTGATCAGCTAGTCAGAACGCCGGGACTGGGAGCCAGCTGTCACAGCCTGGTTGCCTGGGGCCTATGTCACAGCTTTCCTCTGGTCACCTTCAATTTTTGGTTTCCATTAATGTCACCCTGAGAACTGTTTTATACTGAATTTCTTTGCAATTTTGGTGTCTTCTATATTCCTGCTAGTCAGATTTTCTCATTCCTCATTCTTTCCTGCTGGTAAGATGTCTGTTAGTCTTTCCTGCCTTAACTTTTCAGGTGTTAATTTATCCTCCAGAATAGACCCTCCAGCTCTGGAGGGCTGGAGAAGTACAGAGGTTTAGAGATCTTCAGAAGATGGGAACTCAGGGACCAGCAGATGGTGTTATGCTTATGTTGCCGGACTCCTACAGAGTGGACTGCAGTTCGAGTCCCGAACCCAGTGGCTTAAAATTCATGCCAGGCGCATGTGCGTGTGTGCCCAAAGACCCAGGAGAATGGAGGAGAAGGGACTGCTGTGTGGCCATCCCTCCAGGGGGGTGATTTTTCACCTTCTGTTTCTCTCTGTCTCCAGCAAGCTCACATGACCTATAGGAAAAATCTC